TAATGAAGTCGGCTGGGTAGGTGTTTCCGCTTTTGGTTATGATGATTGATAAGTCCTGACTGCGGCTGGTTCTTTACCTCAATTATAGAAAGTTCTTTGTTGGAAGAGCAGAAAAGCTTGGAGGGTGAGATTAAATCTAGATTTAAAATCAGTTAAGGTTTTCAAAATGTGAGGAAAGTCTATAGATCATTCGTTAACCTTTTGATTAAACTCTAAGAAGTCTATTTTATATTTTTAAATGTCAACATTAAGTTAATAGCCAATCATTTTTGTGCCACAAACTAACTAAAATGTTATTAAACTATTGATTGTTTGTTAAGACTCCAAACCTTAGAGTTATGAAAATAGATTTTATGAATTTGTAAAAAAAAAACAATTCAAAGATATTGCCGCCTCCCATCCCACTCCTCCCCTTGGTAATTATCGGCAGCCAAAATAATCGAGGAAAATGGGGGAAAGGTGACTTCGTGCGATTTTCGCATCGGACATCGGTCCATTGTCCAACCACTGGACGGGAGTCAATAAAAATTATTTCGCGAAAGTTGTCGCACAATATGGCCAAGCAGAGTGTTTACTTCATTTTCATTAAGTTGTATTTTTTAAAGTTTTATTTTCTCCAACTCTTTTTCTTCTTTTTAGTTTTTTCTTTTTTATTAGATTGTAATGTTTAATGCTGCTGTTTGCCGTTTGGCTTGCAAGGCGGCAAGTTAGCCAGTCGCCACATTTCGCAGCCATAATTCAACTAATTAAATGCACATGAAAAATTCAGCACTCGAAAAGGCAAACTTGACAAATGGTAGACCAACTTTTCAGATGCATGAGCAGGGGCAGGGGGAGGGGTATATCAAAATGCCAAAAGCCTAAGACCCAAGATGAAACTCATTGAGAAATGTTTCAATTTCAAATGCACAGCGAATTACTATTGAATTTTTCAATAGGTGAAAGAGTTTGGAGATTGGAAATAGTTTGAATTAGTCATGGGAAAAAATGATCGAATGACTCTGGAAAGTTAGGATAGGTCAAGTTGCCTTTTTCTTATTTTAATCATTGCTTAATTATTTTCAAATCTACATAAAACTAATCAATTCATAAAAAAAAAAAAAAAGCTGCTAAGAAAGTCTAAATTAACATTTAACAGCCTGCAGCTTTTAAGCGCCTCTAAAACTTCAATTTCTCTTAACTAGGGATTAAGATTTCCCCCAAATATTTACAGCCTTACCTAATCCCACAGCCAATTACCCGATTTTTGTTAAATCTCTGGATCTTTGGCTGGGCCACTTAATGGAATTAACCAGATTAGCCATGGGGCTTGGATCATATGGTTTTTCTCGATGCTTGTTAATGGCTAACCAAAGACGCCATCTCGTTTCGAGAAATGATTTTCCCAATCAATTAGCTTTGACCTCCAGTTTGCCCTTCGGACCTGCACTCGCCGCGGGAGGTTTTCCATTTTCTCTATCTCTCTCTCTTCTTTCTAACCCCTGAAAAACTCATTGATCATTGGCCATCGATTGGCCGCGATCGCCGACACGATATTGCCCTAGGTTTTTGGCTACCGTTCCGAATGGCCAACAAACAAAACTCAGAAACCCAAAGCCCAAACCCAAAACCCAAAACAACTTAGCCAAACACCAGGCCAACTTGCAACTTGGGCGCAACTTTCACTAATTTTCAATGCGAGCAAACTTGATTGGTAAATTGCGGCGGCAGGACGCACTTCGTTTAATATTTCTCACCCATTCTCAGTCCCCACCTGAGTTGGTTTTCCAACTCGCCCAAATGCCCAATCAATTGGACACTTTTCCACTTTATTTTCCACACTAATTGGAATGGACACGCGGGATTTCAGCATTCTTCCCGTTTTTCCTTGGCTTCATTTTAATACTCTTTATGGCAGTTAATGGCAAACTATTTGAGTGAAAAATATAATAATGGGTTTATCTAACAAATAAATTGCATTAGTTTCAAATTTTTTAATCAAATTAAAGTGAGCTTTTAGTAATAAATGGGTAATGAATGTTTATTAATCAATCAATTTGGGGTTTTTTGTTTATTTATTTAAGAAAAATGATAAGTAAATTGATAAATAAGAAAGTTGAGCAAGCGATAAATAGGTTTAGAACATTTTGAATAGGTTTTTCCTCAACATAATCCTTTAAAGAATCGGCAATTTAATAGCTGAGCCAATTAATTAATTTGTAGAAATAAAAAAATCACCACTTCCCAATGACATAAACCCATTAAATCTGCCCCAGAAACAATGGGCAAACCCAAATGCTAGAGTAATTAAAATTTACATCCCATTGGAAACTCGTCTTGGCCACTTCCTTTCTGGCCTTCCGGTATTTTTCTCAGCTTTATCGCTTTATTATGACACGCAAATGGCAAAATTAGTAAAAATATATATAAAGTGGAGTAGGGGTAGTGAGGGGTAGGGGCCTAGCTGGGAAATTGTCGGCTGTGCTGTTATAATTAAAATATAAAAATGCGCCCATAATAGACTTGTTTTTCGCCCCTGGCTAATTTGCAATGTTGGCCAAAATCTGTTTGGTGTTTTATTTTCATTTAATTACTGTTGCTGCCGTCGCAACTGTTGCTGCATTAAGTGGCTTGTTTTGCTTAATAATGATTATTGGTTTTTATGACTCTTTGATTATGCGATGATGCATCGAAAAAGAAAAAAACACAGCCAGTCGGTGAGGAAAGTCTCGGCAGTAACTCTTTGGTTTTTTTTTTGTTTTCATTTTTATTTTTTTCCAGCGGCTCTTTGGCGAGGTGTTGAGCATTTTGTTGGAGTTGATGGCCTGTCAGTCAGTCAAGTCAGGCAACTCAACTGCCGGACGAATGGACAGACATTGTCGGTCTGTTTTAAAACGCCGGACCGTTTCTATATCTGCTTATGCTGGTTGGTAATGCTGTGCTGCTGCTGCTGCTGGTGCTGTCTTAGTTATGTAATGTGCGCTTTTGAAGACAATTTAAATGGCCGCCGGTTGTGGAAAACAAACACGAACCTCGGTGGCCCAGAAATGCCAGGAGAATGAAAAGAAGGTGATAGAAAAGTTGACTATTAGGATGCTCTTAAAGAAAGGTTTTTAGCAGGCGGTCACACTAGCATGTATAACAAACAGTCACATTAATGTATTCCTCTTCCTTACTTTTGCCTTAAAATAATGCTAGCAAACACTATGTGTGTCCTTTTCGCACGACACCAGAGCATGTAGAAGCTAGGATAAGATAGAATAAGAAAAAGAAATAAAGAACAGTTAGTTTTGGACCGCAGAACGGAAATACACGTGATGGCGAAGCCTACAGGTTTTGAGAACTAAGAATAGGTAATGATGACTAAAAGGATTACTTCGGTAGTTATAGTAAAGTTAGTTATACAAAGTAAGGGCTTTGGTTCCTATTTTGGACATTACATTGATATTAATATTCTCTGAGAGCTTAGTCCGAAGAATGATATCATCTTGATCAGAAAACTCCCTACAACTCACCCTACTATATAGTGTATAATGCATAATTATATGCACTTGATCGGCGGAGAGCGTGTGAGCGAGATGGAGCGTTAAAATGTGCAACTGAAGTGGACAGCCAAGTGGACAGCGAATTATGAATGATGACGCAATGCGGACTCATCGATGGAGCTGGAAAAACCGTTGCAGCGAATGTGGACGTGGAACCAACCTGCCAGTTGCTCCTGGTTGAAGCTCTTGACCCCGTTTTAAGCCAAGCCAGCATGACTGCAATGGAAAAGTAAAAAAAACCGAAAGAAAAACCAAAATCTCGAAACGCTTCAGAAACGCTTTTTAGACGCCCCCGAAACTTGGTTTGCATTTTAATTGCTCTGTGATTAAGCGGCAAATTACATAAAATTAAAAACAAAAGTTGATTTCGAACTAAATGATTACGGCAGAGTTGGTCTACAAAAATCAAACAAAAATAAGAAGAAAGTAGAAGTAGAAGAGCAAAGAAAGCTGGAAAGAAGAGAAACGCAAAACGATTAGTTACATTCGCTTAACAAAATGTTGGATAATTGCTTATAATTATGATAATTCAGCTAAATACCTGCGCGGGCGGTTGCATCAGCCCAATTTGCACCACTAACCCACCGACTCGCTGCTGCACGCAACTCTCTACACACTTGGCTGGTTAATTTATGTCATGATTCCACCGCACAGACATAAATTCCAAAGGAATTTTCCTATAAATTACACGCCGGCTTTTCCCTGTCGCCCAGCAATTCGCTCTTTTGGCTAGCAAAGATGTCAGCGATTTTGTTTTTATTTCAGCTTCTTCTTCGCCTGTGTGTTTTCTTTCTTTCTTTTTATTTTCTTCTAATTTCCCCGGCAACATCATTACGAAATGAGTTTTCTTTCCTCCCATTGCTTACGCTTACATGGGGATTTTTCTACGTGGAAATTCAGGGGGACCATAGATCCCAGTGACATTTCCACATGCAAGGCCTCTTGAGAGAAAAAATACTTTTTGGCATGCGCTGACACGAAGAAAACATTAAACATTCTTTTGGGGCAGAGAAGAAAATCCGAGGGCAGCGTCAGCCGGCGGGCTGCATCAATAAATTTAGCTCATAACGCTGAGTGACAGTAATGTGTCATCAGCGGGTGGAAATAGTTTCTAACGAAGTGGGAGTTTCACCCAACCGGTGGGCGTGTATTTCTGTATGAATGAGAAATGAGTTTGGTCTTGCCGACGAGGTGGCGCATCCCATTTGATCTGATTTACACGGATTTTACAATGGATATATAGCGGCTAACCGCCCTGATTCATACGGCATAAATATTTATCAAGGGAGCGGTGCCAATCAATTATGGTGATATATTATTTAAGTTGTTTTGGTTTTATTAAAAAAATGTTAGACATTTTATTTAAATAATGACAATATGAAAATCTGGAAAGCATTTAGTTTAAGTTCCTTTTATTTTAGTGAACTTTAAGTAAATTTTTGTAATAATTAACATCTTAATATTTTAATCTTACAGATTGCCAAAGACAAAAGCTGATGGGAGGTGATTGACTTTAAAGAAATTCTCACTGTAAGTTCGTGATTTAAGTTTCTGGATTTATTTTAAATATTTAAACAAACTTTTAGATTAAATCCCAGGGTCATGCCTGTTCAATTTCCATATCAAAATGTATTAAACTTGTAACAACCTTAAAGGTTACTTGTAAAATTTCCACACATCCCCACCAAAACCTCAGATAGTCATGAAAATGATTTTTAATTTCGCCTCGTTATAGCCGTAACTTAAGATCTGGCCCGTTCACCTGTTCAAGTTGTCCGCCAACTAATGAAATCATCAACCTGTGGCCGCACAATCCATCAAATTTAAGTCCAGAAAGAGACAGGGGCCAAAAGTGTTAAACAATTTTCCGCACACACAGAGCAAACGCAGAGGTTTCCCTCCCCCCAACCAGAGTCAAGATGCAAATGAAGTTTTCGACTTATGCCGAGTCTCGTTTTTTAAAGTATTTTTTTTTTTTTGGTTAGCTGCCGTTAGCTTAGTTGCCTTTTGAGTATGAGTTTCGCTCGTGTGCATAATTTAAAATAATGACGGCACATGAAACTTAATGCGTCTGCCCCGCCAGAGATCGATCTTTAGGCAGGTGGATCAAATTTGAACTCTAAAGATCTCATGGGGATCACTTGATGGGGCTGATGGTTGATGGTTGAAAATGCTCGAACACACGCATTATTTTTGGTCACGCATCTGAAGGTGTAACAGGTGTCACTCTCACTTTTTTAGCCTACATACATAACAATTAGCTTGGCCAAAAAACGAATGGCCAAAAAAACACACGCAATTATCGCATCCTTGGCGTATCTGTGATTTGTGATCTGTGATCGCTGATCGCTACTGTCTCCCTATTTTTCCCCCCCCCCTCATCCTTTTCTTTTTCGCCTGTTTTGTCACTTTCCTTTTGCAATGCAAATTTCTCGTGCCGACTATTAATTGCTAATGGCAGTCAACAACAACAACAACAACAACAGTTAAAAAAAAAACTAAAAATAAAGGAGAAATAACCGTTAAGACAAACGCCAAGAAAAAACCAGCCATAAAAATCGTCAACCAAATGCGGCAGCCTGGCTTTTATATATCCCCCCCCCAACTACCCTTCCAGTCTCCTCCCGCAGCCACCTGAGTTTTCCTCCTCCAGCTGCCCACGTTTGCTGCTCATTCACAGTAGGCAGCAGCTACTGCGGCTTATATGCAGATTTCGAGAAAAGTTTCTCTGGCTGGAAAATGTCGCCAGGGCTGGCAAATCCTGTTTTTTTTTTTCTTCATATTTTTATCAATCAAGGCTTTATGCGAAAAGGCATTTATGAGTATTTATGGATCTTTAAAAAGGTAATACGCTGATCGGCAATCATACAAATTTGTTTTTTACACTTATGAAGGCGTTGAAAAAAGATAAAACGAATTTTTAATCAAATTTTTGTTAAAATTTGAGTAAAAGAAAGGTTTGGTAATAGTTTATTTTCGGAATAAAGTTTTTCTTATTAGTTAAGAACTTAAGAAAACTATACCAAGAAATGTTTAATATAAATCTTAATAAAAAAAACCAAAAAATGTATAACAAATTCCTCTTAATTCCTTTCCCTTTTTTTTATAAATCTTTTATAATTTTTCCTCAAACCGTAAATGATCTATTACCTAAACTGCGGTCCAAACACCTTGGCAATCGGAGTCCTGGGGCACCAAAAAATAAAACTTTCTTTGCATAGCCAGGCTGCCTGGCCCTCACTCCTCCTAAATTTACCCCTCAACCAGCCCGAATGTGGCTATAACTCCCTCTTTTTTGGGCTTATCGATGATCTTTAGACGTTGGCACGTTTCGTTCATTGCCTTGGCTTGGAGTTGTTGTTGTTGTTATAGTTGTTGTTAGTGTTACTGTTGACGTGTTGCCAAATGGCCATATTCAAGCTTTTATTGTGGCTCGTATTAGATTGCCATGGCCAATGCATAAATCTGTTATTGAATGCGAGACCGAATTGGCATCGGAATCCGATCAAGAGCGTTTCCAAGAAAGCCAGTGGAAGGCCAAGAGAGAGAGATATTCAGCTGAGGGCTAGCTATTCGCTGATATACATTCTAAATGGCAAATATTTGGAATAATTTAGAGGGGAAAATAGAGTTATGAAAGGGAGGATCAATCCTGTTTAAGCCCTTTAGATCCTAACTTGGTTCCTATCCCATTGGTTCTTCTTTGCCTTAAACCAGCTTATAAAAATCTCAAATTTTCTCTTTTATGTATATATCGATTCCCTAACAAACATTTTGATCCATTACCAAGCATAATTTAAATAACAATGTTCCCCATCATGTGTCAAAAATATTAATCAGCTAACAAGTTTCTGGGTAACTAAGGACCATCACGAGCAACCAGCTAATGGAATTTGAAATGCCCCCAATTACCACGAAGCTTAAGGTGTATGTGCTAAAAAGTAACCACTTACATATTTCATTTTCGCATATACCTCGGAGAGTGGAAAGTTGTGGCCCGCGGTGAGTCAGTCGCTAAGCTCCAATAAGACATGGTTCTAGTGGCTTAAAAGTCAACAGCATAAGTCCAAGGCATGAAAGCGATCTCCTATCGCTGTTCTCCCTCTCGTTCTAATAAGCCAAACAATAAATCATCATTGGGGCTTATATTTTTTTTAGCACATTTCTTAGCCAAAACTCTGCTGACTCACGATCCCCAAAGAGCTCCAGGCTTCATACATATATATTTATATACCTTTCCTATATACCAATGGATTCTCATTCCCATTCCCATGCCCAGAGTGGAACGGCGCTTCGCTTTGAGTCTTGGCCGTGTCTTTAAGCTTCCTCCATATTCCTTGGCTTTTCTGTTGTTGTTCTTCTTAAACTAACAAATTCTGGCATGGTCCGAAAAAAGAACAAGCTAGAGAGGCTTGGGGGGGGACTGGCAGGGCTACAAAAACAGGCTTGGGCACATTGCTGGACATCACGCAAGAAGGAACCGAATCGCTGCAAAATCGGTGGCATCGGCTTCGCAGGAAGGAGAAAGTCTCCACGAAGGGCGGCCAAGAATCTCCAAATCTGATTCCAGGTTCTTGAATGCACTTGAAAAAAAATTCCAGAAAATTATCAGAAGGATAGGAAAAATCTCAAAAAATTAAAAGTTTTTTGAAAATATATTTTAAGTCAGATTTCCTTAAGAAACCCCCTTTGCTGCTTATCTTTTTAACTCAGAAAAGTATAATTTTTAAAGGCATTTATGTAGAATTTGTATAATGTAAATTCTTTAAGGCCTTTTTCCCCATAAGAACCCTTTTTAGACTAAAGAGTACTTATATTATAGTAAGTACACAGATTGTTATAACATTTTATCATTCTTGCCAAATAATAAACCATATTCTTGAAGTGTTTCCTTCGGCCAGCTGCCAAGACACACGAAATTCTGTTTTTCAAGTAGCCCAACAACGAAATTTGTTATATGACTTACATTAGTGGGAGTGCATGTCCCTCCCCCCCATTTTCCACATAGATTTTCAGATTTTTTTTGTTATATTTCGACATTATTGTTGTTTGGCAAACGGGCAGCCACATTTGCAGCAGCAGAATTGACATTTCCTTTTACAACATCCAACAAGCTCTGTAAAATGAAAACGATAAATCAGCAACAACGGCAGCGGCTAGCTAGCGTTTTTCATGTGATTGTCACGCTTGAAGGACTTTTCTCGTGGAAAGCAGCAATAACAACAACAACAGCAACAACAACAACAGAAATCAAAACAACAAAGGCGAAAATGAATTTGTTGGTTTTCTTGTTGGCCGCTGCTGTTAACAGCATTCGTTGCAGTTGCTTTTTATGAACTAGGTTACTATGTTTGTTGAGTAATTGAGTTTAGTTTTTTCGCACACACGAATGTGTCCATTGTTATGTTGATGTTGTTGTTGTTGTTGTCGATTAGGAAGCTGCCTCACATGCAACATAGTTTTGTATTTTCTTGGCAGGAAGTGAGACGTTTTATGGGGGCGGTGCGGGGTTAATGTTTGGCTATCTGTGAGTTACGCTGCCAAATAGCTTTATCCTTATAAGGCCATATCCTTCAAGGAAATAATTTTTGTTTTAATTTAACTTTTAAAAGAGTTCAGTTTTATTAGTCAGTTATATAAATGTATGATTTGTATTAAGCTAATTAGTTGGCATTTGTGGCCAAAACCAACATCACGTATGAGCAATTTTGCGGGCATTATAACCGAATTAGTTGTAATTGTTTAGTCTGGTGTCAGGTTTGAGTAAGCTAATTAGTCTTAGATGGAGTTATTATACTTATCTGGTTAATATATATACTCTTATTCAGTATATAGATTGGATCTTTTAGCCATACTACACCCAATATCAATATCCTTTCCTTACTAACTAAAAAATACAAAAAAAAGTATAAATAAATTGCAGGCCAACAGCTTGACCCACCTTCTGCTTCCTAGTCCACTTCTCACTTTGTTTTAGTTTTTTTTTTCCATTTCGATTTTCCATTTCCACTCCTTGCTGCCTTCACTTTGGTCACGTTCCAGCTTCTCGTTTTATTCGTCACTAACCCACCGCCCCTCTCGCCGCTCTCTCTCTCTCCCTCTCTCTCTTTGGTCTGTCTGTTTTGTGATCTAATTACTGTATTTGCTGTCCGTTTTGACTGCTGGCTGCTGCTGCTTTTTCCGGCCATCCCCTGGCCTTTGAAAAGCCTGTTTAAATTCGTCGTGCTCTGCTAGTGACTCCTTTTCCGCCAGCCCCTCCAAACCCCATCCTCATCATCATCATCTTCCTAACTAACCAGCTCCTACTGTCTTTTGCTCTCTTTGGGTTTTTTGTGTATCAATTTGGCGCATTTGCTTTTAGTTTGTGATCAGCTGAAAAAATTACTTACTGTTTTACGCTCTGGTGACGAAAGTTCTGTGGAAGGAAGTTTCTAACTAGTGACGAAAGCCATTAAAAAGTTTTCAAATTAAAAGATTTGTTAGTTCTTAAAATTAGAAAGTAACTAAAACTAAAACTTTTATTTTGTAGT